AAAATGATTGAGTCATTGAACTATTTAATAGTTCACCGAATAATTAAGAATTTTATTTAAATAGAAGAAGAAATTATTTTGAAATTCATTTACTATCTCAGAGGAAAAATCACTGTACAAGAACTTATTTTATAAAAACATTTGTTTTTTTCGTTGTACAAAGATATTTTTTATAAAAAATAAATCGATCTCTGCAAATTCATTGAATAATAAGTTATAATCATCATATTGACATTATGATTAATTACAGATATTTACAGTTTTCTATAGCAAACATGTCAAGTATATTCACTCTATCTAGAATCATTGTTTCATATTATATCATTAGTAAAATCTTCAGTTCAATACATATTTCTGAGTTATAACTTAAGAACGATATAGTACGAGGTAATTTAAACAAGGGGTGTCTTCATTTGTTTTTATCTTATCAGTAGAAAGAAAGTAAAAACATGACTCTTTGATTGTGTTTAGGATGAATTTCTGGAAGTTCTATCAAACAATTTAGATTTTCTCGAGAATAAATGATCTTTTTATTAAAAAAAAAATCATACATACATTTTCATGAAAATACAAAAAATGATATATTTTGAGCAACATTGTTGTGGGCATTTCGAGAAGTTGCTAGTACTTTATAATCAACATTTTTTTATCGAAAGATGCGTCTTTTGACGCTCTACAAAACTATATAAAATATACATTAAGTTCTTGAAAATTAACTGTATAACATAAGCAAGAAGGATACAACAAAGCATGTAAAATAGACTAAAAAATGATCAATTTCACCTAGTAAAATGAATTTTTCCAATTAACGAAGTAAGTAACGATAATATATGAAATGTAGAGTTTTGTAGAGCAACTTCTTCTCTATCATTCGTATAATCTGACAATAATTTTCATGAAATTCTTGTGACGAAAAAACTCATAAAGAAAAATGATCGAAAAGCCATAGTTTTTGATAGAGCAATATTTTGAGCAAAAACTATTATATAATCGAAATATCAGAAGACATTTTCCAAAAGTTGTGAAAATTTGGGTTTCTGAGTAACTCTTTATGCTCTTTCAAAGTAGACCTTCTGTTTAGAGCTCTAATCAAGAAACGTTAATTAATACTTAAAAAAAAAGAAAGAGATGTCTTTAATCATAATGTACGTTGTCATGAAGAACTACATAGAATTCTTTACAATTCATCAAAATTTTTCAAAAATTTATAAACTAATACTTGAGGATGGATTCAAAGATCCCTTTGTATTTCTTGATAAGCTTTTCAGAAAGAGCTAACAGTTATTTATATATTTGGTCTATTTTTCATGGATCATCCGTCCATTAAGAAGAACAAAAACAAAAAAAAGATGATAATAGTGACAAAACTACTACTAAATCGTGAAAAATTAATTTTTTATAAACAAATGAAAATAAAGTTTTCTATTACTCTGTTTATTTTTGTTTTTTGTAGATAAGATTATTTTTTTCAGATATTAAAAGGATTTCGATGCTAATATTCTATTTGTTCATATGAGGACGTGTGGTTGTATGGAAAGTAGTCGTTTTATCTTCTGATGTATAATGAACAGCACTTGTATGTTCTGTTGTTTGATGTTGACTAGTAGTCGGATGAATAGTAGCATGAACTACTGTTGAACTCGTTGTTTTCATTGTACTATTATAATTTGAATTTGTTGTTGACAATTGAACAGTCGACATAGAAACTAAATAATATAGACATAGAGATCGTAGAATACGACATATGAAATGATTTTCGAGAACTTAAATAAATTTAAAATCTTGTTTAAATATCGTATGAACTTGAAAAAAACTTTTTCGAAGGTCATATTGAGATTTATAAAACTTTAAAAAGATTTTGAATGAAAGTTTCAAGGATTGAGAAGCAAATAAAATATCGTCTTTTTGCAGTGTAGTAAACAAATATGATAAATTACCTTTATGAGTAGTAGATGAAAAAATTGTTGTTATTGAGTTTGATGCTGAATATATTCAAAAAATAAATTATAAAAAGAAAATTATTTAGTATTATAACACCAATGAATAGTTTTCATACGTAGAAACTTACTAATCTTAATAACAGTAATCGGTCGAGAGATATCAATTAAAGTAGCATTTCGAATTTCAATTAATTTGTCTAATTGAGGTTCATTATAGACAGCATTATTACTAATTTCAATACATATATTACATGTTATCGCATAGATATAGTAAACAATAAGACGAAGAATATAATTAATTGAATCAGATGAAACGATTCTATTAAATAGCATTTATATTCTACATAAGACAAAAAAAGAACAAATGAAAGAAATTCAAACTTTTCTGTAGAATTTCCATCATCAATTTCAATAGTAGCATTAAATACAATTACAGTAATGTTTGAATCATTTGATACTGTTGTTTGCATCTAAAGAAATGCAAACAACAACGAAAAAAAAATAAATGACATATTTATTCCACTATGTTTACCATATTTGTTAAATCATTTAAAGTTAAATTTTCAATAATAGGACCAACTTTAAAAACACCCTCTATTATCAGATCATATTGATCTAATTTGTAATTTACTTCAAAAATCATTTTTGTAGTATCTACAAAGTTATATAAATACAATAGAACATTTAAAAAGAATAAATATTAACTTACTTAGAATTGATTCATTTGTCATTTCTATTGTTATATTATCCGGTACTTAGAAATGAAAAAACATTTGATTAAAATTTCAAGTATCGAAATCTAACTCTTACTTATTGTATTTTCTATTGTAGGTATTAATTCTATCGTTGATGTCATAATTAAAACATCTAGAAATTAATGGAATGTACTTATAGAAGGCACGAGGAAATTTTCTTCATAGTGTTCTATCATAATTGATTATGCCTCAATTGATATGATAATATTAGAATTTCGATAAAAGGTGTTCATCTCGAGTGTAGATGTGAGTCTTCGATTCAACCACCACACTCACATTCTGTAAGAATCATCATAAGATAATACGTTTGTTCGATCTTTTCAAATATTGTTCAATTACAAAATTCACTGGAGCGTTCTTCACGAAATCACGCATATCATCTTTCAACAACTTTGACAAGTGAAACCTGGTTGCTGAAAACAAAATATAATGCACTATGGACTTACATGTAAAAGTTGTTCTATTCTATCTAAAATAGAAATGAATAGCTTTGATCGAAATTCTAATATTAGCATACAGTACTGTTTGGACTATTAGTATATATATATATATATATGTAATTTCCTACTATTGGTATAACCTAAGTAGAAATGTATTAAAGAAAAATGAAACTTGCCAATTAATGAAATATTATGAAAATGAATTTTTCCATCATAAATAATAACAATTGGATTAAGAATAATTGACTGTGTATTTTTTAATTTATTAATTTGTATTTGTTGACAATCAATCATACATTGTTTAGTAAATGTGAATAAAACAGTAACATTTAATATTGATGATTCCATTATTACTTCAGCTTGAGCAACATTAAATTTATAAATATCCATATGAGATTTAATGATACTATTATCTACCTTTAATGAATAATGAATATTTCAATAGAAAAAGAAAATTTTTAGATTCTTACTAAACGAGTTATATTAGTTAAACTTAAATTATCAACCGCAACACTAAATGGCGATAAAGTTCTACCACGATTTTCCATCAGACTATATAACACAAATACTTTAATTTGATCACCGTTTTCTTGACCTAAACATGTTCAATTTCATCTTACATTTTTTTTTT